TTTTCATATATGGCTTTTATTATATTGAGGTAATTTCCTTCTATTGCTAGCTTGTTGTATGTCTTTATCATAAAAGGGCACTGAATTTCATTGAATGCATCTTCTGCATCAATTGAGATGATCATGTGATTTGCTCTTCATTCTGTTAATGTGGTATATTACATTGATTGATTTTCATAGCTGAACCATCCTTGCCTAAGAATAAATCTCACTTGGTCATGGTGTAGAATCCTTATAATGTGTTGTTGAATTTGGTTTGTTAGTATTTGTTTGAACATTTTTGCTTCAATATTTATCAGGGATATTGGTCTGTAGTATTTTTCTTGTAGTATCTTTGTCTGATTTTGGTATCAGAGTAATTCTGGCCTCATAGAATGAATTAGGAATGTTCCCTCCTCTTCAATTTTTTGGAAGAATTGGAGGATTGGTGTTCATTCTTCTTTAAATGTTTGGTAGAATTCTCCAGTGAAACCATCTGGTCCTGGATTTTTTTTTAATTGGGAGGTTTTTGATTACTGATCAATCTCCTTATTAGTTATAGATCTGTTTGGATGTTTTATTTCTTCATGATTCAGTCTTGGTAGGTTGTTCAAAATGTATTTTATGGGGAGAATCTGCAAGATTTACTTATGCGTTAGGATGAGGAAAAGAGAGAATAATGGGTGACAATTAATGTTTTTGTCTTAAGCCACTAGCTACAAGATGGTGCAGGAATCAGGATAAAGATTAAGGTAGAAATGGGGAAACTCAAGAGTTAGGCTTTAGATATTTTAGACTAGAGATGCTTATAAGATATCCAGACAGAGACATTTAGTGGCAGCATACAGATCCAGAGCTCAGAGATGCCTGAGCTAGAGCAGAGAGAAAGAAGTTAGAAAGGTGTACTCTTAGCACAGAGGAAGGAGTAGTGACTGAAACACGGTGTTCACCAAGAGATTAGAATAGATAATAAATCCAGAATACCTTCCTAGAGCCAGATCATGGTGCCAGGCTCTGAAATTTGGGTTTTATTCTCTGTAAAGTGAAATTACAGAAAAGTTTCTTTTTTTCCTTTTAAATGGTAGAGTCATTTATTCATGGCTATTAATTTCTGATTTTAAAAATAATATATACCCATTGTAAAAAAAAAAAAAACTAAAAAATAAGGAAAAGTATAAAGAATAAAACAATAAGCATCTAAAATCCCACCATCTGCTTCCATAGTAGCTGCATTATTTTACATCCCCACCAATAATGCACAAGGGTTCCAATTTCTCCATATTCTTGCCAACATGTGTTATATAGAATATTTAGAAATATAGAAAGGCACCAAAAGGAAAAAGAATAACAGTTACAGCTTATCAGGGTTTAATATTCCTTTACAACAAAGGAACATCTACCCCATTAAAAGGGCAGTCTTCGATTGCAATTTATTTAAAACCCCTTGGGACATTCAATTATTGTTAGATATTTAGGTTGTTTTCCATTTTTAAAAAATAATATATAGGCCTGTGACAAATATTCCTATGTGTAGATCTTTGCTCCATTTCTAAAATGGAGAATTTTGGGATCAAAGGGCAAGAACCTGTTAAAAATTTTTATACTATTTGCAAATTGTTCTTAGAAAGGCTAAAACAATGTGTATCCCTAGGATATGAGCCTGCCCACTCACTGTATTCTTACCATCACGGAGCATTGTGGTTTAAAAAAGTATTAATTTTACAGATTAAAAATAATCTATCATTGACATTTTCTCACTGTTTTCATGAAACTATGAGGCACAAACCAGAGTCTCACAAAACTCCATACTAGTAAATTCAAACCACACCAATAAAGTATTCAATTTTAATATCATAATCTAAAACATGAGTTTAAGCTCACAAAATATGAAAAAAATTCTAACGAGATTACTCCGAAGCAACAGAAAAGGATCTAAGCTAGTGAGGGCAGCCCAACAGAGTGATGCTGAGCATCAAGCCACACAACCTGCTAGAGATCTTAAGGACTCATCATAACTTGTTAGCTTTCTCTACAGGGCAGAGGGGAAAAGAATAACATGGGGAACACAAGCAGGTTACAGTCCATCATCCTCTCCCCCTGTCATCGATGAAGAGATGAACTATAACCTAAAATACATTTTTCAATTAAAAAGGCACCTGGCAACAGAATTATTCCACCTCCAGTTTCATATAAAAGAAGTGCTTAGGCACAAGTGTTTGGAGTTAAACCATGGTGCCCAATGAGGAGGAGAGCTGGGAAGAGTAAGTCAAGGGTAATCCTCTTCCTTCTTATGGTGAATTTTAATCTAGATACCTAAAAACTAGGATTGGGTGGATTTTCACAAGGGCTGGGCCCTATGAATGATTGGTTTAAACTGAGATGATGAGAGTGTGGCCCCCACATTACCATAAGGGAGAGGCACATAGAAACCACTTCTGTGTGTTCAGAGGTTTCAAACAGCAGGTGCCGTACACCCAGTACCTTCATGATCTTGGTTTGCCAGCAGTAGAAACACAAAATAGGGAGAGTAAGCAGGAAAGACTTTGGCAGTGTCCATTTCTGACACTATATCAAAAGGAGAGAGAATCTTGGCTTAGGGACTCAAAGTCCCATCGGCAAGGCTGATCCCATGGTGGACATGCAGTCACCGTGCTCTCTTCTCCCTCCGGCCATCCCTCCTTCCGTAAGTATTTGAGTTCTTACTGTGTACAGGGTACTACACTAGAGACTGGGGATCGTGGTGAACAGGGCGGATATAGGCCCTGCTCTCACAGAACTGAAAAGTAGTCAACAGTGTAGTATATAAAATCTTTTAATTAAAATTGCAGTATGTGCTTAAGTGAAAACACAAAGTATAATGAGAATGTGGGGGTAGAGGGGTAGGAAAACCTCTTCTGAGAGTTGTAAAGGTTTCTTTGAGGAGGTGATAGCTGAGCTGAGCTCAGAAGGATGACGAGAAATAAACTGCTAAAGGCTACCCCAGGGAGTATGCACAAAGGCTTTCAGTACCCCTTGGTGGAGGAGACCTCTCAGGTGGTCCTCCTGCCTCCCTGTGTTCAGTCCTCTGCTTCTTGTCAACCTTTCTGATTATCATTTGGTTTCTCATGTGAATCTACTTGCAGGCAGAGAACGTACACAATAACTGGTATTCTGGCTTGTACAATTCTCTTTGAGCTTGGTTAATGCAAGTTTGCTCCCAAGAGGGAAGCCTCTTTGGGCATGTTAGCAACATTACTGAAGTTTTCAAACTTGGAAGTCTGCACTCCAGAGCTTGCTCTCAGTTCCGTGAAAGCAGGGCTATGCCTGCCCTATTCACCACGATCCCCAATCTCTAGCGTAGTACCTCACACAGAGTAAGAACTCAAATATTCGAGAAAGGAGGGATGGCAGGAGGGAGAAGAGAGCACGGTGACTGCACGTCCACCATGGTATCAGACTTGCCGATGGGACTTTGAGTCCCCAAGCCAAGATTCTCTCTGCCGTTGATAGTGTCGGAAATGGACACTGTCAGAGTCTGCCCTGCTTACTGTCTCTTATTTGTGTTTCTACTGCTGGCCAACCATTCCCCTCTAACTCTTGGTTTGGATATGCAATGCCCTTGGTTAGGTTGCAGTCCAATCACACTGGCCTAAGTCTTTATGTCTGCTGAAGCAGATTTGTATGTCTCTGGCCTAACTTACTTTATGGTCATTTATAATTTAAATCTCAAAGCGCAGCCTTATTTCCAAGTCCTTGGGGGTCGCCATACTGTCAACCCCCTATAATTGCCAAACGCTTGTCTATTATTCTGTTCTGACAGTGATACTCCAGGATGCACAGTAGTCAGAGGAGAAATGTGACAATAGTGTGTGCGTGTGGCTAAAGGCTATTCATACGTCATAAAAACACAAGCTACAATGACATTCTTACGTGTTTTGGCTATTTTCTAAAAATATGATATTAATTTTGGTAATTAAAAACAGAAAAAGTACTGTCCTGGAAGTCTGGGTGAGATCTAGATTGTTTTGATTCTGGCTCTGACACTAACTTGGCTGTTAGCAAGTCCTATTTCAGTGCTGACTTTTGTTAAATAAAGGGGTTAGACTAGATGACCACTACAGCCCTTTCAATCTTGATATTATCCAATAATTGTTTTTCACCTAAGAACTCCCTCCCGACTTCATAAGCACCCCAAAGATCAGTCCAGCTGCTGGTAATGACCACCATAAACTAAGAAGTCGGGTTAAGCATCTCTAAAGAAATCATGGAGATACCTCAGGATCTTCATAATTACAAATGAAATCATGTAGGAGACAAGCAGATGTTCTTGGGACCCAACAGATTCTCTGACACACAGATCTTCTGGACACTTGTTAATCACTGGCTGGAAAACTTTGATGCCTGGGAAATCTGGTTACAACCCAGCTCTAAAGAACCCTCTTCTTTTGATTTTCCCCAGAAGCAGAGTGTCCGTGGAAATTATTTTCCACATGTAAAACAGTCAGTCATTATGAGAAAATGTTTCTACAAGCTTACACCTTTTACAACCTTTGCAAAAAGCAGTTCCCTTCTCTATTCTTCGTATTTAGGAGTTCGACTTCCTTCACCTCAGTCCCCCAACACACAGATCTGTGCACATGTCCTGTCACCGGTGCTAAATTACTCTCTCAAACAGGTGGTCAGCTATAGTACAAACTCATTATAATGTTTACAACCAAAAATAATCTCAGGTGTAATTAGCTGGCATGTTAAATTCAAAGTCATGCTTATGTTTGAACAGTTTACAAACCTGCTTAGAGAATGGGCATCTCTGATGAGATCCATCTCAGTTTGAAGGAAAATTACCAAAAAGAATAAAAACAGACCACTAAGGGGCTTGCACTCCAGAGACACATATTTGTTTCTGCTGCAGCAACTGTGAGGAGACTGAGCACAAACGTGTGAATTCCAAAAGATCTCTTCCATTAGTACAAATCGGATATTTACCAAAACATAACCCTGAAATTTATCTGCAAATGGCTTCAGAACACTTTACCACCTACCTTGAGTAGTAAGACTCCACCCCCAGGGCCTCCCGGACACTGGCGATGTACTGCTCTAGGGCTGAGCTGGTTGCTATTGGAAGGGCTGCACTGCTGCTGGCCTGGAAGTCACCGGAGTTTTCCACTGTATTATCACCCAGGTAGTGTTCGTGAAACTTCAGAATTCCTGAAGCAAGACAGGCACAGCCGACATTATACATGATCGGAGTGGAAGGAAGGAGAAGTCAAAGGCAGGGAACAGGAATGCTGATGCTAGGTGACTGACTTCTTTAACAAGCATGCCATCCTGCAAACCATGTGAAGGCATCCTGAAATCCAAGGTCTCAAGAGGGCTTTCTTGAGAAGCCCTCTATTTTAGTCAGTGCCCTTTTTATAGCTTTTACCAGCAGGTTTGGTGTTTGAAACCAGAAATTTCAAACTACAGCTTTTGCTTTTGATGGTATTTTCAGAAGCTCTTGGAATTATGACTACTTCATATGTATTCCAAAACAGATGTTTCTTAGAAGAACTAACTAGGGAAAGTCTCCTTTTAGGACTAGTGCATGGCATGCCAAGGTATATTTTCTGCAGAAACTGAAATCCTGAACGAAAATATCATTGGCCAAATGGAAATTGGCCACAAAAGCATTCACAAAAGCAAATCATAATAAACATATAGTATAAAGGCCACATAAAAACACCTTAAACCATTTTTAAATAAGACTAAATGGCCAATGGTCATTAATAGATTAAAGGAGCAAAAAATGATGGTTGCATGAAACTGAGGCGAGCCACAGTGGTTTTCTGGCAATAAATAGGCCACACTCTCAAATGGTAATGAGGTGTGTCAGCTCTGGGAAATGCTGGTCCTCTCTGATTGGATTAGAGCCCCCAGTGAAAGCTTCAGAGCCTCATTAAGAGCAAAAAGGAACGGAAAAAGAAACAATAGGAGCCTCATTATACATGGCTCATTATTACAGGGCTTTGGATATATCACCTGTTAAATCATGTCCCCTGAATGTAACAACCACAGAGAGAAAGAGCTTGATACCTCCCTGTCATCAACCTCGTCCTCACGAGTATTAGTGCCACTCTGGGAGCTGGGACACACAAGGATTCCACTGTGGCCAACATTCATTCACCAAGTTACCATGAAAATCACCACTTAAAACCTTTAGCATAAAAACGATCAGAGGTAAGGATGTTCTTTGTGGAAAGCCCATAAAGAACATGGAATTAAAGGGAGAGGCTATAAAAAATAATGCTGAGGCATAGAATGTGTAGGCACAAATGCTCAGAACCCAAGAAGCATCTGGGAGCTGTCATCCAGCCATCATTTTTTTTTTTTTTTTAGATCAAAGGGATAGAAACATAATGAAGAAAACCTTGTCAATTCTCCCTGGCACTTAAAGTTTTTGAAATTAGCTTACAGAAATTCAAGAAGCCCATTCTTCAAGATTCCCAATTATAAGATCCACTTCCCCAGTCAATAAACTCTAATTGGATCTGGTATGTCTCCAACATGGTAAAGCCATCAGCATTTTATTATGCAAAAAATATGGCCCTAACAGCTAATTAGTGTTTCTGTATTTAGTGAAACTGTTACAGCCTGAACATTTAATGCTGATTTAATCAAAGAGGATTTTTACTTCTGAAACAGATTTACAACAGAACTGGTTAAAAATGGGTTTTGTTAAACTCAGAAAATTCAAGCATAAGACTTATTTATATTCTGTGATAGAGCTGCTGTTATCATTTTAGTATCTTTAACTTTACTATGACAAAGGGTCACAATTATTAAACACAGATATAGACAGAAAAAGATAGGACTTGTAGTCATCACTTTATTAGCTTATGAACAACAGCTGCTGACAAATAGGGACACTAGAGAAATTAATCCTCCTGCTCTTAGTCTTCCTTGATAAATATTTCCACTTTCAACAGGAGGGGAATGAGAAAGCTGGGCTGTCTTATTAATTGAATGCTCAACCATGGACTATTCACCACAGCTGAGGTTTTGCTAAAATCTGACATCAGCTCCTCAGCCTGATCTAGGATAATGTACCTCTTGCACCTCTATTCATTATCCCTTCCCAGTTCTAGTGCTTTCATTGTCCTGTTCCCACAGAAAGAGATCTTACCTGCCCCAGGAGCCAGCAGCCAGCTGTACAGGTAGCCTGCAGCCAGGGAATAGTAAAGCACTAGTCCCCTCTGGCCATTGACCATCTCTAAGATCTGATCGACAGTGATTGGGGAGTAGGGGTCGGAGTCCTGTTGTCCTGTCTGTCGTTCCACCAGAAGATCGGCAAAGGCCCTTGTCCGTCCTCTTTCTGCCACAGCCAGGGCTTCATCATGATGGCCTAGGAGACAAAGGGATAGGCCAAGCAGGCCACAGTGAGTGTGTTTACTCAGAGAGGGCCACTGGATCCCGGGCAGAAACCTCACTGCCTCTGCTCTCCAATATGTGACAGAATCTCAGTCACACTGCTTCAAATTCAACTCCCTGCCGCAGATGGCAGGTGCAGTGTCCACGATTATAAAACCCCATGTTTTTAGATTCAATGTGATTAATTCTACACGACCCTAAGCCATCGGACCTTCCCCTGTCTTGCAGCCGCAGAAAAGAGCCAATCTAGTTGAGTGCACTTGTCCTCAGCCTTGCACATTCTCTGCTTCACAGCCTAACCTGCTCCCTGACCTGGCTTCTGACACATCATACCCTGTTCACTTGGTTCTCTGGACCTGATGCTTTGTACTCTGGCTATCCTCTCATTTCCCTGCTCAACTTCGACTCTGATTGGGCACTGGCAGATGAGATCTAGAAGACATGTCTCCTGGCCATCTCCCTCTGCTCGGTGCAGCCCCTCTATGCATCACACTGTCCAGCCCCATCTCCCCACTCGCCCCAAATCACACCTCCATCTCTTTATGCATGGAGGTCCCCCTCCTGGGTGTGCCCTTTCCCCTTCCTTTGACCTTGTCTCAAAAGAGGGATTGTCATAGCTGCCCTGCCTATCTCAAAGGGCTATTGTAAAGATTAAAAGAGGCACTGCCTGTAAAGATGCGTGGTAGGTTATTTAAAGCACCACATGTATATCAGGTGGTAGTATTACTGCTGAGGCTGATACCTCATTCCATTCTGGGCTCCCACATACTTCTCTTCCTTATCCCCATGGGCAAAGGGTTTAAACCTCTGAGGTCTCTATTTCTTTAAAATTGCTTCTCTCTTTCAAGCTTTTCCTCAGTCTTTCAATGCAATTTCTAGCCCCACTTCTTCTAAGAAACTTGTCTGTAATCTAGTTTAAAAGCTAATGCACCAATATTAAAGCACAAAAACTGTAAAGCAACATACTTCCAAGTGAGGATTGTTTATAAGTACTGAAGGAATGCAATGCAGAGGTTTTACTTGTGTCATAAATATAAATATGAAAAAGTTGCTAGAACTAGGGCCCAAAGAGAGCAGGTAGAAGCAGGAGACCAGATGCTGCAGCCCTGATAGCACTTCAAGGATGCCTTGCTTCCTGTGGCTCTGGTATCAGCAGAAAGTGGAGGTTTATATGTGCACATGCAAAGGCCTTCTTTTACTCTATTAAGTTATTAACTGGAACAGCAGGGACAATTTCTGTGCACATTGGAAAATCGGCCTCAAAGTGCTAGACAGACTTAACTGTGATTATAATAGATAAATTGTAATCCCAGGCAATGAGCACATTTAATAGAAACATTTTCCAAGAGGAAATTTGCATATTGCTATACAGACAGCAAAAGACAGGCTATTGAAAAGACCTCAACATCCAGCTTCGAAGACTGTGTTAGTTCCAACAAGTATCTCCCAGGAGAGGCAGATGACAGAGGGGCTGGAAGGGGCTGGCTGTGACAGTTAATGCCAGGTGAAGGAAGATGCATGCTGTTCCCTTGTGATGGGCACACAGGCTTGGGAAAATTATCACTGACTCTGTCACAGCCTAGGAGGCAGACCCAGATGGCAAAAACATTTATTAGACAGCAGCACGGAAAGACGTGTGGCTGAGGAAACAGAGAAGAGATCAAGTGTCTTCTCAGGTACTTTCCTTTGGTTAGATGCTTGAACCAGGTCTTGGTGGTGAGAGCGAACCTAGGGGGAAGTCACCTGGTTCAAGTGTCCCTGTCTTGGGGACACCTTCTCTGGTTCCTGGGCCTGCCAGCCAAGCAAATTTGTTTCCACAGTGTCTGAGTTTATTCTATCCTAGTGCCAATCGCACTGTCCTGGACTCAATGACTTATGTTTGTTGACGGGTTAAGAGCTTCTTGAAGTCAGCAACCGCCTTCTTGACTATAAATCCCCAGGGCTGGCACTCAGTAGGTGCTCTACCCAGCACTTACTGTGCTCATTGGTAGGTACTCATTGAATAAATGAGTGGATGTTCAATGGCTGGTTGTAGTTGCGGCTTCGTATTCTCTTGTGACAACGAATTATATTTTGTCACAGTGGTCACTAAACACCTTGGACATACGGGCAGCACATGCACACACACAAACGGGAAGCCCAAGTGCTCTCACCTAGGCTGACAAGCACCCGCTGCAAGGCCTGGTAGGACGACGTCTGCAGGTCGAAGAGGGAGAGTTTGTAGTCCGTGCTCAGCTGCGCCTCGTGTCGGATCGTTTCAAACAAGGCCGATGCCCTATAGAGCTGCAAGTAGGGATGAAGAACATCATTCACCAGAAAAGACAACTTTGGCTCAGATCTTGGTGCACAATCTAAACATTTTTTAAAGGTTTGAAAGAAAGAATCTTTATTTCCATGTAGGTCTGTGTGGACCTGAAAAGGCATCAGACCATACCCGGTAAATTATAATTTACGTAATCAATTTTTGACATATAAAGGGGATCTAAAAGACAGGGATTAGAAACTTATAGTCTGAAGGATATAAAAAAAATCAGCTATTAATCCAACTAAGTGCTGATTTTTATTAAAACAAACACAAAGCCTCTCCTCTTGTCATCAGGCAACCATAATTCACCACCTGCCTGCCTCTCAGTGAGGAAGGACGGGAGCGGGCACGGGTGTGCTAAAGGCATGCTGGAAACGACGAGGCTGAGCAGAAGAGAGCACCACACGTTGGGGGGCGGCAGCTTTTTGAGGGGGTTCAGTGCTGTAAAGCCAAATTAGGCACTACCCTGTACAGCAGTGCCCAGGGTCAGCTCCCCAAGCAGCACACCTGCTCACACAGACACGCCAGGACCAGACAACTGACATTCCTAACGGAGACACTTGTCCAGCAGTGAGGCTACAAGGCTTTTCTGACTCTGATAGTTATATGCCGGAAACTCAGTATCAAACTTTAAATTTATCCAAACTTAAAAAAAAAAACCCGGATTTTTAGGCTTAGGGGTTTTGACCAGGAGAGAGGTAAGAAAGAGGGAGGTATGTGTTCCTAAGTCTGCCACTAATTTGCTGTGTGACTTTTGGCAAGACTTGGAGCCTCAGTTTCTTCCTTTCTATAAAGGGATAGTTACTCTACCTCACAGGGCTTATTTCGACGCATAAATTCAGTGAGTGAAAGTACTATGAAAATTGAAAATTCACTATATCATACAAGTTTTAATTCTTATAACCAGGAAAGTAGAGAATTAATTCTTTTTTTTTTTTTTGAGAATTAATTCTTTAAATTGCCTTTAATAGTTTTAAGAGTACAATAAAATACCCTAACGTGCTGGGATGCTATGGCACAAATTCAGTCACATCACATCCTCATCGCTTGTGAGCACTCTGGACAGGAGCCTTGGCTCCCTGTCCTTGTCCCCTGTTTGCCTAGCACAGTGCTCCCCAGCACTCGTTCACTGGCTATCGGGATGAGCGTGTGATCTCAGATGTGGCCATCTCACTACTCCTACCTAACAGAGGAAGCCCATAGCTCTCTGGATCTTTCTCATCTCCAGAGCCAGCATAACAATGGACCTCTGTTCAACTATCTGTACATGTGTAGAAACACAGACTTATCCTGAGAGAGTGAGAGAGAGAGACAGAGAGAGAAATTGTATCTATTGATACATCCAGAAACCTACAGACATTAAATACATAATTATGAATTCTTTTACTTTTCTGTTATGAAATGAATATAATTTCACATTAAAGTTTAATGAGGAGCAACAGCACATAAAACAAGGATTCCAAAGAAATTATTGAGAAATATATCACATGAATTAGCAAGAAAACACTTCTGGGCTGGTACAGGTTGGAGATCCTGTACATTAACTCAAAGGTAGAGGTCAACACCTCTGGCAAATGTCATCACTACTAGGACAGTAATCCCAAGGTCTTCCATGCTTCCGCAAACAAAACCCACTTGCGTGAGGGGTTTTTCTGCTCACCTGGTGCTGGGCCTCCTCCAGGTTCCCACTAGCCCAAAGGGAGAGTCCAAGACCATGGCGGATCTTTGCCTCATCTTCTCTTCGGCCCAGTTGCTCAGCTAACCTTAAACCTGAAACCAGATAGAGAAATTTAAGGAAACATAGAAGACAGATAATTCCACTCTCCCGAGGAGTCCTGGAGGCTAATTTTGCTTCAGGTGTATGTAAAGAATGTTAACAACACAGACATAAAATGCAGGACAAGAGCTGAATCAGCCAAGGCAGAATAAGCATTCTCTTCAAATTCTGTGTTGGGAGCGACATTTCCAGGACACTCCAAGATGCCCCAGCAAAAGTTTAGGCGATGGCTATCAGCAGGAGACAGGTCTGCAGGGCAGGCAGAAACACTGAAACAAATGAAACCTAACCTGGCCGCCCTCCCAGATGTGAAATCCTTAGCTTTGCAAATGAAAACTCCTTGCTGATAAATTTATCTGTTTCTTTGGCTGAGAAAGCTCCTCCTGACAGTTAAATGCAGAAGCCAAGATAATACTTTTTCCTATCTCACGTGCACAGCATCTAATCAGTGTTGATGGGAGACACATATAACGTTCTCCTGAAAGCAGAATATGTACACACCCTGACCCTGTCCTCTGTCACCGATGCTACTGACATATTTCGTGTCCAATTTGGTTTTCCTTTAAGTCTGAGAGTTTGATGCACCTCCGTGGGGTTGCAAAACAAATGCTATTATAAGTCAAAAGCCTTAAATGAGGCTGTCCTTATTTTGAGAGCTTTAGATAGGCACCTGCAGTTTGGGTCACTTACCCACAGCAAGCTTCTGGGTTTCAGGACACCAGCAACCTCCAGGGTTTTGTGAGAGCCAAATCTGAAGGCAGTCATTTATTGTATTGGTCACTGAGCAGTGCTCAGAGTCACTTTGCCCTCATTATCCTGCTCTCTGTACACAGAAGCTACCTTTTGCAGAGACAGCATGAAGGATCCCACAGTACAAATGCACACACAAAGGAAGGACTTCCTTCTTCTAATCTAATTCAGGGTGGATGGCAGCCTGCCTCTAATCATGCTGGGACTGTGCAATTTCAGAAAAGGAACTGAGTAGGTTGAGAAAAGTGATACTCAGGTTCGAGCTCATAAAATACACATTTCAAAATGCACATAATTCAGAAAACTTAGAAACAATATTTTAAGTTTAAATCATGTCGTTGGGTAATAAAAATCATATCTGCAAATAGTTCACTTTTTTTTTTAAGAGATGTAGTCTCACTATGTTGCCCAGGCTGATCTTAAACTCCTGGCCTCAAGTGATCCTCCCGCCTTAGCCTCCAGAGTAGCTAATACTACAGGCACACACCACTGTGCCTTGGCAATAATTCACATTTTTAAACAGAATTCACATTTTTTCACAGAATAGGATAACACATGAATGAAAGAAGATGGTTCTTGGGAGGAAACCAGGAGGATACTGGTTATTTTAACCTTCAACCAGCTAACCACACTGATCTTCAATACAGATGTCCCTGCTAGGTCAAGGTCAATGAGTCAGAAATAAAATCATTGAGGCAACCCCCCTTACAAGGCACGTTCTGTGAGCGCAGGGATATTGCTTTGTTCTTGCTGTCTCCCCAGCATGTAGGACACTCACTAGGTTCAGTAATGAAGAGTTACAAGCCCACTGGACAGACATGGCGCCTGTCTTCTATTGCTTCTGCCTCTTAGGAATCTGAGCCACTCATCCACCTCTCCTGGAGCCTAGTTAGTGAGGGACTGGTTATATAATTCCTGTAAGTCACTAAATTGCTCCAGGCTCCCTTTCCTCATTTGCAAAAAGAGAAAAAGCTGGATGAGATCAGTAGTTTTAACCAGAGGTGTCCATCCAAATCATTTGGTGAGCTTGTTCAAAAGACTCAGACCGACCCCCCACCAGTGAGATTCTATTGCACTGGGGCAGGGCAATGCCGGCTGCAGCCCCTTCCCCTCGGAAAGCCAGGAGAGAGAGCACTGGGGTGGTTTCCAGCTGAACTAGTCACTGCAAGAAGCTGCAGACCCAACTCAGAGCACTCAGAAAGCACGTTGCAGGCATCCTGCACCTGTACCAGCTCAGAGATCACGAAAAGAGGAATTTGGTGTGGCCCACGAGGGAAGACATTGGTTGCCGGCTCTCTAGTGAACACATCCATGAAATAGACGCTATGGAGTGGCTACAAATAGGAGTTTTAGATCTCTGCAAGACTTAAAAATTACAAGAAACAATAAAAATTAACTTGAATGTTTTCCATAAATACAGACTTATGTTACGATGTCTCAGGTAAACCAGCTGTTTCATGGAAACAGTACTTCAGGAAGTACAAAAGAACACAGCTGAAAAGCTGTCATACACTGGGCCTGAATTTAATCATTTTCACAAACTCAATTGAGAATCATTCCTTGTCTGTTGGCATTTTACCACAGTCAAGTTTTAGGAAATGAAAAGCCAACGTTCCCATTTAACACACTGAGGCAGAGCCCCGCCTGGACAGAGTGGGAGCCAAACAAGGTCTAGGAAGCTGCTTCCAGCCTCTCAGTAACCTCTCAGCCTGCAAGCCAGCACAATCTCTGGGCCGCGCAAAGGAGGGCAGCAGACCATCATCCCCTTGCCCATTCCCCACTTTGCTTCCTGCTTCCCTCTCTCCAGGCTTCCCCGCTGGGGCTCAGGAGAGCAGGGGATACAACTGCCCAACCCAGCCTTGCTCTTGTGAGGTTAGAAACAACTCCGGACAGGGTGTATTTCCTGGGTCAGAAAACCCAGGCTGAGCCTTACTCCTTAACTAACTAACCACCCAGTCAGGATCGAATCACCGTACTTCTCTGAGCCTCCGATGACTTAGCTACAAAAATGATATAAATAAAAAGGTATACCTCTCAAAGTTATTATGAGAATTAAATCAGATTAAATAAACTGTACATGCAAAGCCCCTTGGAAACTATTAATATAAACCAGAATTTTTGCTTAAAATCAGCAACTCTTTCCTTTCCATGCTTTCAATGAGCTGAAAGCATCCTATCTGCCCCTTTTCCCTTATAGGGTGAGAGATCCAGTGTGTCTGTGTGAGGGGCAGGCCTTCTAGAGTGGAAAGCCCCACGTGGTGTAAAGAGGTGGAGGGTGAACACACTGCTGTGGGACTCGTGCTTTGGGAGGAAGGAAGAGTCCAAGGACCAGCCGTGCTCAGGAAGCTGCGTGGCACCTGATGGCCAGGTTCCAGTTTCCAGGCCTGCCTGGAACAAGACCCTACGGTGGCACCAGCCCAAGTGCTGCAGGTCATAAACACTGGGAAGGAAGCCTGGTTTACTGCAGCGTGACCTTCAGACTGATGCTTCTGGATGGGACTTCAGCTGCCATGTCAGAACTGACTTCTATATGGTTTTGGTAGTTTAGATATTTTCTAGAGGGACAACAGAACTTGGAGCAGATGGGCATTTTCTTCAGATGCAGACTCTTAGAATTTTAGAGGAGGAAATCTTACGTGATTCATCTTCTGTAAGAATATATTGTTCACCCCATATAGGCATTTGAAACCAAGGAGGGTATTAGCTCCTTGGGCAGCTGATGAGCAGTAGATGTTGTCACTGGGAAGAGTAAGACAATCTGGGTCCAGAGAGAACAGGGTAAGGTATTCAGGACAAGGAAACACCTTAGTACTACCAAGGGACACCTGGTGAGGGACACTGTGGTTCTGGAGTTGAACTGACAATGTGGCCTGAGACTCTCACTCCATGCAGAGGTGGCCACTAACACCATGCATGCTTCCTTCTGAGTCTCGCGTTCTGACTCTGTACTTGAGCTCAAGTACATCAAGACACCACAATGGGCCTTTTCACCTACCTTCCTGTAGGTACATGACTGCCTGGGAATAGTTCTGCAAGGCATGATGTGTCCTTCCAAGGCTACTATATGACACCGTCTTGGCCACCAAGTCGTTCATCTGTGCAGCAATGCTCAAGTGCTGTTCTTGATAGACCACAGCCCTCTCGAAGGTGCCTAGGGATTCATAAGTCAGGCCCAGGTTCCCATAGGCTCGGCCCTGGCATGTGGGGTTGTTGGTTTCCTCTGCTATCTGTAGATCAAGCTGGTGGTACTGCAGGGCTGTGTCATACTCCCCCATCTGCTGGTAAACGCCCCCCAGGCCACAGGCCGCGTCACTCTCCAGGGCTCGGTCCTTCATCTCTCTAGCAATGTTCAGCTGGCGTTCGAGGCAGGAAATGGCTTGTTCGTAATTCCCTAATTGGCTGTGCAGACTTCCCAGCTCTCCATAAGCCTGGGCTTTATTGAAGGCCTCCCCGAGCTCATGGGCAACCACGAGCCTCTTTTCAAAGCACACAAGGGCTTGCTGCAAGCTCCCCATTGCCCTGTGGGGATGTAGACACAAAAGCAATGATATTATTTTGTGCAGGTGCAGACATGCTAAAGCCCCTGAGAAAATGAAAAGCATTTGTCACTGTCACTTACTATAGAAGCTCTTAACTCCTCTTCTAGCTAAAATCTATCATGTGCCCTTAGAGTGAGATGCAGAGGAATTTCATAATCTGGAAAGCAATTCAAAAGTCATCCCTTAGTGACCTTCCCAAGAGCTCAAGATTCGATGGGATATACACCCCAGAGGAAACATAAAATATATTAATAGGCACAATGATAGCAAGTGAACTGTTTGGTTCTTTGGGCCTCCCAATTTCCACTACCGCTTAGACTATGTTTTTGAAATCACTTTACAGTGGCTATAAATCTTTCACCCTGAGCTTCTCAGAGCATTCTGTGGGTGAAGATTTAGTTTGACCCTTGCCCTTCCTCCACTCCAGGAGCCTTAATCCCCTGCCTATCTGGTGGGGGCCATATATTCTGCAAACACAGACACCTTCTTGGGTTCCCCATATCCAGGAGAAAAGCATCAGCTTGGCCAAGTGTGTCTTTTTGTGCTGCTAAGAGATGACATGGTAAGAGTGGGAGGAACATGGATTCTGGCAGCAGACCAAACCAGTTGTGTGGGGCACAGGAATTCCTTTCCCTGAGCCTCAGTTTCTGGTGATAATAAATCCCACATCCCACAGTAGATACAAAATTGCTATTACTATTCAGTAAGATACCTACGCAAGGTGCCTAGCACGATGCATAATACCTAGTACATGTTTATTCACTCCCCCTATTATCAGGTGGCTTTTCCTAAAAGCAACACAATGAGGTCCAAGTAATTGGTGTGTACAGATGTATTAATAAACACGTTCATATAATGGGGGAGGCTTTCAGAAAAGATCAGTTAAAGTGATTCATTCACCTTTCCTATCCTATTATCTCTTTTATCCTGCTCATTATAATGCTGTCAAACAGGCACTGCATTTAGAGTCAGAGAGCCCTAGGTGTGACTCTCAACTGTCCCTTTTAAGCTGTGTGATCTTAGGCATTAACCCAACCTCTCTGGGCTTTAGTTTCTTCTTCCCTAACATAAGGGTAATAATATCACCTGCTTAATTCAAAGAACGGTTAGAATGAATAAACTGCCGTGCAGACATGAAGTTGCCATTATTGTCACAACTGCCCTTTTTGCAGAACCATCGAAAACATTTGTCCTCTGTCATTTTTACCTGTGTCCATTTCCTAGACCCCGGTAAGCCTTGGCTTGGTCTTGCATGCGATTTAGACTCTGGGCAACAGATAAATACTGTTCATAGTATTTGATAGCTTCCTCATAGTCACCCAGGGCTTCGTAGCAATCCCCCAGGTTGCCATAGGCCCGGCCCCTGTCAAGCACAGACTCGTTTCCACTTAGCTGCTGCAGCATGGCCAGCTGCTGCTCGAAGTAGCCAATGGCTTCTTCCATCACATTCATGTTCATCTTTGTGATGCCCATGTTGCCATAGACCTGGGCCTCTAGACTCGGATCCTTCAGCTTCTGCCCTAGATCCAGCTGCTCTTCATAACACTTGAATGCCATTGTGTATTTCCCAAGGGCCATGTAGACAGCAGCCAGGTGCCCATGAGCTCTGCACTCCCCCGGCAAGTCACTCAGCTCCTGATATACCTCCAGTTCCTGCGTGTGATAACCCAGGGCCTTGTCGTACTTCTGGATCATTCGGTATGCAGTGCCCAGGGCTGCATATGCACTGGCCTCCAGTCTTCTATCCTTTACCTGATGAGCTAAGCCCAGCTGCTGCTCATAGAACTTTATTGCACCATTTATATCTTTTTTACAGATGAATATATCGCCCAGGTTCCCTAGGGCTCGAAATTTAGCCTGGGAATTATTCAGGGACTGGGCTAGGGACAGTAGGTACTTTTGACACTCTTCGGCTTTACTAAAATTCAACAGAGCCTTGAATGCTAGGCCCAAGTTGCAGTAAGCTTTTGCTTGGCTCAATTTGTCATGAAGGTCTTTGGCCAGTGCCAGATCCTGCTCGTAGTACTTTACCGCCTCCTGGTAATTTCCAAGGCAGTAATGGGCATAGCCAAGATTGTGGCAGACCTTCCCTTCTCCTTCCATGTCTTGAAGGTCAGGAGCAAGCCGGAGGTACTGTTCATAGTAGGGGGCAGCCTGGACATACTCTGCCCGAGAGCAGTGGAAGTTGCCCAGGTTGCTGAGGGCCCGAGCTTCGCTCTGGATGTCTCGCAGCTCCCGGGCGATGTTCAAGTGGTTCTGATAGTGTTGCAGGGCCCGGTCATGGGCACCTAGGGCTTGGTAGGCCACAGCAAGGTTCCCATGTGTAGAGGCCTGTGAGGCACGGTCGTTCACTTCCATGGAGATCTGCAGCTCCTGCCGGTGGTACTTGACTGCCTGGTCGTACATGCCCAGAGCGTTGTAGGCATTGCCCATATTCCCATAGGCACGACCCTGGGCAGCATAATCGCTCAGCTCCTGGGCGATGCACAGGTGGGTCTTGTGGAGCTTCAGTGCAGTGTCATAATCGCCTTTCATCTGGTGTATAATTCCTGAGAATGAAAGAACAGAAGAAGATTGGAATAACTGATTAGCAACTTTGAAAAAAATGTAATTTGCAACTCAATTTATAGTAAAGTGCAATCCAGATGAATTAAAGAATTTAAAATAACAGAAGGTAGGATTAAATATTTATCATCTCTCCAGAGGGAGGATAGCTTTCTAAGCTTTGAAGCAAAAGAAAAAAACATTGACAGATTTGATTATAAAAATGAGAAATTTTGTACTACAAATACAGATCTAAAATTAAAAGGCAAACACAACACTGGAAAATATATGAAACATATGAAAAAGTTCAATAGCTATTGTGTGTAAAGATTTCACTGGATTTAAAAAAAAAAAAAATCAAGATCCCAATTTACTAAAATAGGCAAAGACCTTTAAGTGCCAGCAAACAACTCACATGCAAAGAAACACAAAGAGTAACCACAGGGGAAAATGCTAATTTTCTTTAATAATCAATGAAATGCAAAATAAAACCCTGAAGTACCATTTTACGTCTACCAAATTAGCAAAAAAAAAACTTAAACATGACCCCTATACTGATGAGGTTGCACTGAAATTGGTAAACACATCAACAGCTGGGACATAAACAGGAACAACCTTTGTATAAGCATCATGGCAAGACCCACAAACACGATCCTATTCTGACCCAGCAATCTTACTCAAAGGAAAGTGTCCCAAAGAAATCCTTCAACAAACATGAAAGCTTGCATAACAATATGTATGACAATCTTTGCTGCAGCATTATGGACTAGTGGAAAATCAGAAACATCTTAATGCCGACCACCGGGAGACTGTGTAAGTACATTTTGGTATATCAACTCAATTGAGGATTATGTAGTCATTAAAAAGATAATTATGAAGTCTATGCAGAAAATTGGGAAAAAATATTCTTATAATCATGTCAACTGAAAAAAGCAGGAAACAATGCTACATGCTCCCTGTGACAACTAGAAAATAAATATGTGCATACAGACAAGGCCTTGAGGGGATTATGCAAGACTAAAAATAGTTGCCTTGTTAGGTGATGGGATTTTAGTGATTTTTGTTCTAAAATTTCTTGTAATTCTGCTATATTGCTTTTACAATCAACAGTAATAATGCTTCGAACAACTCTCATCAACTATGCTGTAGCTGCTAAACTAAGCTGTTGTTTTAACAAGCAATTCAAAATGAGATGTATATTCAACCAGGAAAGGAAAATCTCTTCCAATAATGTCCTGGAAGAACTTAATATCCATATGGGGGAAAAAAAGAAGCCGATAAAATAAGTATGCATCAAAATAGAAGAGGAATAAAATAATAGAGGTGTGAAAAAAAATGAGATGTATAAACATAACTATAAAGTTGCTCCAAATGAAAGATATAATGGTAACTTATGAAGTGGCTTTAAGGAGAGCCCGGTTCATCCCACTTGGGGCTGGAGTGGGGGCCAGCAATAGAAAAGGTGGAGAAAACCAAGTATGCAAGCAATTTTCTCTTTGCCCTTGATCTTGAACATACTTTTCTATGCATCAATATGTGAGTTTTGCAGAGGTGACTAAAATCTGCAGAAGCACAAAAACTCAAAAACACCAAGATGGGAACTGGTTAAAATGTTTGAACTGAAAATAGAGGCACTGAAAAAGGAAGCTGTCAAAACCCAGCCTCCACAATTTGCTTACCTCTATGACATCCTTCATTCATTCATTCACTCACCCAGGAAACAACTGAATATTTATTGTACATTAGAACTCATGGTGGGCAATAGGGGTAGAGAGAGAAATGAAGACAGGAGTCTCTGACCTCAGAAAGCATACAAGGTCGAAAGGGAGACAGTCAAGCAACGAATAGGCAGTACACATGATCAATGCTGAAGTCGGAGTGGGGTGGGGGGAGGTGCAGGGTGAGCCTGCCGGCCACTGTGCTGGTCCTGACTCCCTCCCCTGCCTGCTGTGGAGATCTGCCCTGCCACAGCAGCCATGCCTAGACCTGGGACCCAGCCATCTCTCTGAATCGTTTAGCCTTTCTGAGCTCTATGTAGGTTCATCTATAAAATGAAGAAAATAATAGTCACGATACCAACCTTACAGGGTAATAGTGAGGATCAAATGAAATAATATATGGGCAAGTACATTGTAAACTGCAGAGTGAAATTCAATTAGTTACTGAAATCATTAATGTGCTTCCAGGAAAGGGAATTCTTAAGGTGGCAGAGGTTAAATAAACTATGATAATTCTTCTGAATATTTTTTAATGAGAAAAATATCTTATAATTTAAAAATAACTAAATAAATCCTTTAGGATTTAAAACTAAATAAATACAATGGAATAAACATGGTGACATTCCAAATGGTGAAGTAGAAGTTTATATATTGACATGGGAAGAAATTTGTAATATACTAAGGGGACATATGGGCACAAAATAATACATTTTATAAGAACTTTAATAGCATGTGTATATATATACACGTTACATTTAAATATACACCTATAGCAAAAAGGTTATTTAAATGTTAACAGTAATAATCTTTGGGTGGTAGAATTGCAGGGTTTTTTTTTTTGTCTGTATTTTAAATATTTTTTCTATGATGAACACAATCTGTGGTTTTAAAAAAGTATTTTTGGACTGTTCCAATAAGACAAGTAACATTCCTGGGTATTGGGGTTCGGTCACTCTCCTGGGTTGGCAATCACTAGCATCCTAGCTAAAAGGATCACAGCTTTTCAGAACCTGTTTCAAGGTTAGAAAATCTAAGCTTTTCAAGAGGAAATAATACCTTAGCACCACCTAGAATCCTTTTAATGATGAAAAATTATCAATGACAGAAACATTTCAGTTCTAAAGACCTGAATTTAACATGTATTCCTAAACCAGTTTTAGCTAAAGAGCAACTTTTACATTTCAAATTTCCAGGTATCTTTAGAAGAAATTAATCACTTACTCCCTCTTTCCTCAGCTTCATCATTTCTAAAGTGGGGGGCAAAATATCTGCCCAGCCATGAGTCCACAGCTATGAACAGAGCCAGAGCTGGGGAGGCCGGCAGAAGTGCGTGCATCTCCCTCGGAGCACATTCTCCCACAATGATGCCTTTGCAATGATTCCCTCCCACCACAGCTTCTGGATTTTACTGCAATAATTTTTTAAGCCAATGTCATCACTTGGTTACTAAAACGATAACAGGAAGCAAGCAGTGAGAGACCTTCAGAGGAGGCAATCAGAGTAAGCTTGGATTTCATGTATGGTCCATAGCCACCAAAGGCGGATCTCCTTGCTAGCCCCCACCCTCCTACAGGGTGGGACTGTACCCCAGTCTATAGGAACCTGGCTAGCATCAGGAAGGTACAGTATAAGAGAAAAGGCACAGGACTCTAAGTCAGAAGTCCTGTTTTACAAGCCTGGCTCCCACCTCATTCAGCTGAGTGTCTTTGAGATAGTCACTTAATGTTTCTGAGCCTTTGTTTCCTTGGTTTTTTTTAAACTGAAAATATTTTGGCATTTTTTGTTTTGTCTTACTAATAAGGTCAAGTTATAATCATCTCAAAGAAATAGTATAAGAAACATAATCGTATGTATCAATATGATTTTAAACTGTAACATGGTATCTAAACATGGTATGACCAGTATTTAGAGTGTGAGAAAGTAAAGGAATTCTATTTCTCTTATTCTCATGGCCTTCAAAGTCTGGGCTAGTTAATAGGAAGCAGTTGGGATGATAATGGCTACCCAGGGTTCAATGATTTGTGAAAGAAACTGCCTGCTGGTTATGGCAAAATGATCTGATCTCCAGCCAGCTTCTCCAAGCACTCTCCTGTTCTCCTCCCTGCCTCCTCATCTTACATTTCCAAGGGCCTATAAAGAATCAGAGGAAGATTCTCAAAACAAAGACTTCCACACACAGACGAGGGTAAGAGGAGATGGATGCGGCCGAGCTGGGAATTTTTCATCTTCCCTGTGTCTCTGCTGTCCCAGCCGCTGCCAGCCTGGGGAATTCTGAACGGAACATTACACACTCTTGGCAGCCTTTCTCTTTGTTGAGGCAACATAAAAGCAGCCCCGAGAGCTGCCAGCAGAGTGAATGCACATGCTGAGGAGATAATCTGCAGATCCTCCTTCCCCTTCGAGACCACAGCTTGATTTTCCAGGGCCGTCATTCAGATGAAGACTTACAGAGGGCCTGTCAGCAGGGGCGTGCTAGGTGACAACGTGCTGTAGGGAGGGGAATTAAATGAAGATTAGTGGGGCAGAAGATTCTCACAAAGCGGAGTTCTCACAAGGGCGTGTGGAGGAAGGACACATGGTTATGAATTTATACATCGCCACAGCGGGCCTCCACCTATGGGTCAGGAATGGTCACTGCCATGGGAATAATTGTACGTATTTCAAAGGGCCAATGAGATCATGCTTAGCAGCAGCTAGCATTAGTGCCTGGGACAGAGTAAGTGCTCAATACATTTTGCTTTTATTATTAGCCATAAGCAGCAAACACCTGGGGAGATGTGAACAGAAAACTATAAAAACTAGAACGTTTAGCCTCTTAGCAGTGAATTCTGGCTGCCTTTTCTCATGTGAATTCTCTGAAAGTAAGGCCTCAGTGTACTTCCACAAGCAATGGAAGCGTTCTTCTCATTTACTGAAAATACTGTTATGATTATTAATAGAGCACAACCCAAATGGGGCTTCAAGAGCTGATCTATTTTTTCCCTCTGCTTTCAAAGAGATTGAGTTCTGCTCCATCCTAGCCAAATCACCAGATATTCTCAGAGGAAACACAGGATTTAGGAACTAGAAAAGGCCCTCTCACATCTCAAAGACATGGTATGAGAAACTTAATAGTATTTCTCAATATGCTTTGTAAACTATAACATGGTATCTAAGCACGGTATGACCAGTATTTAGAGAGTGTGACCAAGGCCTAGCAAGAGGAAGTGAGTTAGTGGCAGAGCTGAGGCGAGGACTCACAGACGTGTGCACCCTTAGTGGTATCCGTCCATCTGCTTTCAGGATAC